TTTATAGGATTTTATAACAAATAGCAACTATAAAAGTTTGTACCTTAATTGTCTTCACATCGCTTTATTCTGTTAGCCAATGCTTTTAAATTTATATATTTTAGAATCAGTTCCTTTCCTGGTAACTGCATTTCTAAATGAAATCATCGTGAGTAGTGAGTGCTGAGCAGGCCGTTTTACTATAAACAAATTTTAGGAATTGATAACAACTTTGAAAAATATATCGTTGCACATTCGGTCACAGTCGGAAAAATGTTTGTACCGTCGCTTGCAACTAACGATGAACAGTTGCTCATAAAAACATTCGCGTGATTAGAATCTTCAATGTTTGTCAAGAACAACAAACCTTAATTGTTGTTTCCCATGTGTACAGTGGACAATAATAAGTAACAAAACTTTGTGTGCTCTGAACGTGTTGGGCTAGAGACCTACTGGAAACTTTTACAGGCCTTTTAATGAGAATAGAGAATGTTTTATCTGCAACTGTTCACCCTTAGTTGCAACCGACGGTATTTGACAGCATAAAATTGCCTGTGGCTGTGATAACTGATATAAATAAAATACAGTCTGGTTATACTGACTTGAGCGTGTCATGACAAACTCTTTATTGGAAAATTGTGGAGAAATAGTCGAATATAGAGGGTCGAATATCATACTTCAACTTGTATAGCTACAGTATCATTGGTACATAGCGTTGTGAAGACAAGCCTTTGCTTACCTTTCGCTTCAGCAGTCTTTTCCATGCTTCTCTACGCTTTCCCAGGCGAGCTTCTCTTTCCTCAGCAGTCTCCTCAAGCAAACGTTGTCGTCTTCGCTAGCTCCCTCCTTTTCGCTAGACGTTCGGCTTTCTTGTCGTTTCCTTGCCGCTCTTCATTTGGCTCCATACAGTAGTCGATATCTTTTCTAATTGGTATTTGATACCGTAATTGTTTTATTAAACTTTTTATAGAACAAATTGCTTTGAAAGCTGTCAAAGTTTTTTGCAAACGTACAAAATATTGCAGTGCAAAAAGCAAAATATTTTCATGAAGTATCTGTCAGTTGAAGTCGTCATTTGTTGTACAACAACAAATTTTAAATTTGACCAATCAGTGTTCGCTATTCATGACAGTCCGCCATATTTTTTAGATCAGTGAGGATGACCACCCACCGAAACACGCACAGTGACCCACGCCCGCGATATTTGATGAACTTCAGACTTCCCTAATGCTTTCGTTTCCCCGGGTGTAAATAGCCGGGGGGGAATTAGTACCCTCGCACGGCGCTTCGCGCCGCCGGCTCGGGGACAATCCTTGGCAGATAGAAGAGATAGACTATATGCAGAGAACTTTTTAACTCGGCATCTCTTAACAATGGCCACAAATTAGCGGATTTACTACCATGCACCACTAAATTCAAACAATATAAATCTTAGGTCTACCTCAAAATATGACTTGCCAGTTTTAAAGACGAATCGTTTTAAAGACAGTTTCATTAACTATTACGCTTCAAAAGCTCAAAGATAGTGCATATTAGTATTTAATTGGAAAAACTATTAGACAAGATCTTAATAGATATTCATATAGTAGATATTCTTAATAGAATTCATGGATATTCTAACGTAAACTTTTTCTATTGCTGTATTGCATGCATGCATAATATATATTCGTAGTAGATATTTTTAATAGAATTCAAAGATATTCTAACGTAAACTTTTAGTATTGCATGCATAATAGTTTAGTAGAAGTAGGATTTAAAGCACTTTGTAATTAACACGTAATTCAGTTCTCGGACTGCGATGTGTAAATTTTTAATAAACTTTAATTTTCCTCTCTCTCTTTCTCTCTAAATACTAGACAAGTATACCATTGTACAAATATGACTGACTGTGCGAAGATATTTTACTACTTAAGGACGAACGACGATTAACCTTTACTTGGAGTGATAACTTGTCTATTCTCACTTGAAAGCATTGAATTTCTCAAATTCCAATTACTAATATTAAAGTTGTTTTTTATATATATAAACTTTATTGACATATTTTAATTTGCCTCAAAAGCCAAGGCTTATCAAGGAGGCTCACATTAAAGTTCCACGTGATCACAATCCTTTTATCTGAGTGCCCTTCATCAAACGCAAACGATGTTAATATGATGTACTTGATATTTGTGGTGTTACTCTGAGTGTATATCCACACCGGGCGAGCTTAAAAAATATGCCCGGCCACGGTGAGATTCGAACCTACGACCTTTGGAATACTAGCCCAATGCTCTTCCAACTGAGCTACGCGGTCAGCGTCCTGACCGCGTAGCTCAGTTGGAAGAGCATTGGTTCATTGGAGCATTTGTTCGAGTAACTGATATTTCGGAACAAAATCTAGTTCCTTCGATACCAATGTATTCTAGTAATATGAATTTTTTTCTGTGTTGGTGTAGTGTACTCAGGGGAATATGATATTTGTGGTGTTACTCTGAGTGTATATCCACACCGGGCGAGCTTAAAAATGTACTTGCTTGCAAAATGTACTTGCTTGCAAAATTGTTTTTTTGTTGCAATGCATTTTTTTGGTTGTTTCTTTTTCAGGATCCATTCAGTTCAAAGTATCCTGGTGATGAGAAATGGGTTGTAGGTATGGAATACCCCGGATGGGGCCAGTTCCTTGTGGCCCTTGTTATCCTACCTTCCACCCTGCCTATTCTCATCTTCATAGTTTACAATTGGCCGAAGAATTGGAAAACGTCATTCTACAAGACCTTCTTTAGTGGAATAAATAATTATCTTCCAGATCCAAAGGCTGAAGATTAGTTTTTTGACGCACAGTCTTTATTATTTACTATAGTTATATTCGACAAAGCTTGACGCTTAATTAACGTTAAGCTGTTACTGGACAAAGTCAAGATAGCAATTTAACGACATGATTCTCTTAATTGATATCATAAAGTAATTTATAACGCATGTCTCGTACAGTAGATTGTTAACGTTCATTAAGAGTTTTACGTTTAGTATCTAGGTGAATATTCACTGGGCCTTAGGCGAATAATTGTTTTAGTGCAAATTTTTAATGAATAAAACAAAATATCCAAATATCAATTTAATTAAAATTCAGAAATAAAACTGCTTTCGGCCGGTTCACGGTTGGCTGTTTTAGTGTTGCACCATTGTGTTGCACTGTTTCTTGTACCCACACCGTATAGGCATGCAGCCCAAAAATGCGTGGTGAACATTTTTATCCTCGCGCGTGGCACTCTGCCCGGGCGTGTGTCGAGTCTACTTTGTTTATTATGATGATAGTACAAAGTAGACTTGATACAGTCTACTTTAGGGTCATTTCAGGCCACTCATTTGAAGAGATTCTTCGGTTTCAGAGGTCACGGAGGAATGCATGTATACCAGAAGCAACAAGAAAGAAGTACAATACACTATAGGAAATGCATATATGACTGCATTTTACTCTGTGGTAAGCCATGTACTCTTAGTAGTATAGATGACATATTTGGACAACATTACACAAACGAAGTGGGAGTCTGTCCAAGGCTATTACAATGTAAAGGATCGCTTGGTAAGTTTCAATATGTATAACTGTTGATTGGACGAAAGGGCCAGCAGCCGGCCACCACATACATAGCTCTTGCTACACCATATTATGCACTAGTCAATTGAAACTACGGCCCCCCGACCCCCGCGGCATAGCGGGGAATTAACGCGGTCAGGGCCGTGGTTTAACGCTACAATTTCCCGGGGATACCGGGTATTTAACGAAAATATAATTTGCCGGGGGAAAATAGCGGGGATTTAACGCTCGGCTAAAGGACTGTAGAGGCCTGGGTACGAGTTCGCTTGCTCGTCCATGTGCTCGTCATTCGACCATGTGCTCAATCTCGTTCTCCGAGCATGCCCGTTCGCAGGTTAAGGGTGGGCATAGCTCTGGAGAAATCGAATTGATTCACGTTGAATTTCCAACGTGAGTTCTACGCATGCTCGGCAATGTTGCAAAATATAAATAAAGTATTTAGAATTTGGCGTCGAAAATTTGATACATTTTACACTGAAATCGAACTGAAAACAACTAAAAATTCTGGGGGAAATATGTACGAAAGCTTCGCTTGGATAGGGATACAGCTACCTGAAAAATACAAGAAGAGCTTCGACGTTTCGAGCGAAGGCGCTTCGATTTGTACTGTTAGTGTTTGTATACATCGTACTTGACCTTTGCTGATAAATATAATCTCCTCAATAATAAGTATTATATATTTTTATGCTTTGAAATTTACACTAACTCTCCTGTCAGAATTTATGGTATACGTAATGTTAGATATGACAGTATATAAAAGGTCAAGTACGATGTATACAAACACTAACAGCACAAGTCGAAGCGCCTTCGCTCGAAACGTCGAAGTTCTCCTTGTATTTTTCAGGTAGTTGTATCCCTATCAATCCGAAGCTTTCGTACATATTTCCTCCAGAATTTCTAGTTGTTTTCAAACGATTTCAGTGTAAAATGTATCAAATTTTCGACGAGAAATTCCAAATACTTTGTTTATATTTTGCTGCAATTGCCAAGCATGCGTAGAACTCACGTTGGAAATCCAACGTACTATCTGCCGTCAGCCAATCACAGGCCTGAATCAATTCGATTTCTCCAGAGCTATGTCCACCCTTAACCTGCTAATGGGCATGCTCGGGGAACGAGATTGCCATGTGCTTGTCATTCAAACCCGGCGTGCTCCCTTGATTTGTATTGTCTATTGATAATTTTACTAAAGTTTGTATTAAACGTTCCCCGGTACCGGGGCATTTAACAAATACTTTTCCACCTGTAGCGGGGGAAATGTGCCGGGATTAACAAGGTGATTTGTTAAATTCCCCGCTATACCGCGGGGGTCGGGGGGCCGTAGTTTCAATTGACTAGTGCATTATCCTCTAAGCAAAGTCTCACACAACAAAGTGAGGAAGGGCTTAGAAGTTTCCCGATTTTAGTGCACGTATAGCGCTCTGGTCCAGCACGGGTGTCTTTCGTGATAATGCTTCGTATCATTCGTGATTTGTGTAGTATGAGTTGCGATCGCCACAAACAGCTTTTACTCCTATCAACAGTTGATGCTTGGAATAAATTAAGGTACATACTGTTAATCTGGAAAATGAGGTAGTGAGAGTCAGATTAGACACTCTCGTTGTATAAAAAATGAGGTAATGAGAGTCAGATTAGACACTCTCGGTTGTATAAAAAAGTGATTAAAGTTAATCATAGTTAAGTGGAAATGTCATCCAATAAGAAGCGCCTATTTGGGAGTTAATCACTATTTAACTACAAAATATTGATTAAAAAAGTGATTAAGTGTTTTATACAACCGGTCCCAGGCACTTAAAAGGAAATTCTCATCAAAGAGTTTGGAGAGACAAACACTATTCTCTGGTCTTTTTACGTAGAAGAGTTGGAGAGAGAAGAAGATCTGAGTGAGCTATTCTTGAAACACCCAAGCAAATCTGCAATTGATATATATATATATATATATATATATATATATATATATATATATATATATATATATATATATATATATATATATATATATATATATATATATATATATTATTATTATATATATATTATATATATATATGTTATTAAGACCTTTTTAATAACATTGTCAACATATGTTTTTTCCACGTCAAATTTTCATCAATTGTAACTCCTAAGCATTTTACATGTCTTACTTTACAAAGTGAAATACCTCCAATAGAAAGTGCAACATCGTCGATCAATGAAGCAACAGTTTTGCCGAGTTCCTATAATCATATATTCAGTTTTTAAGGCATTTAGAGTTAATTTATTAGCTTTAAGCCATAATTCAAGTTTTCTTAAATCACGTTCCATTTGACGCTGAAGTTCAACAGGAAAACATGCAGAAAAGGACACATTTGTATCATCAGCATACATGCATTCGTGCAGTGCCGTGATCAAAGCAAGATATATATATATATATATATATATATATATATATATATATATATATATATATATATATATATATATATATATATATATATATATATATATATATATTAAGTTGTGTAATTGTGCACTCCGTAATATGTTAAGAAGAAAATTTTCTAGAGTGTGTATTATATAATTTCCATACCCAGCGCAAGCAGAAAGATGTTGTCTGCCGCGGCTGGGTCTTGAACCCGCGACCTTCGAATTACTAGATCGACGCTCTACCAACTGAGCTACACGGTCAGACGGATTAAAGACTGGAAATTATGAAATATATACTGAATGTCATAAACATACCCGTTTATATTAATTCAGCATCGAACAATAATAATTCTGCAAGTGTTATGTTAAGTTGTGTAATTGTACACTCCGTAATATATATTTCATAATTTCCAGTCTTAAATCCGTCTGACCATGTAGCTCAGTTGGTAGAGCGTCGATCTAGTAATTCGAAGGTCGCGGGTACGCAAGAGGGAGCATATCGATCCAGTTGATGAAGTCTCTCTTTGTAGTAAGCCGGTGAACTATCCTACAAAGAGAGACTTCAGTAACTGGATATGCTCCCTCTTGCGTACGATCGCGAGGTCAAAGGCTGTGAACGGATATATCGACATTGATGTCTCAAATTTTGTTAACTTTGTCAATCATGGACGGACACGTAGAGCATTGAGATCCAAATACTTAGAAACTCCGTTGTGTAAAACTTGTACGTACAGTTCGTCGTATTTTAATCGTGTTGTCAAATTATGGAACAGTGTTTGTGTCTCGATTGATCCTTCCAGTTTTACATCGCCATCGTCTTTCAAACTATACCTCAAGATGAGGTATAAGCATATTCTGGAAACAGTATTTGATCCGGACATGACTTGCACCTGGTCACATAAACGTGATTATGGTTGTCACAAATAATAAACTAACTTAACTAATCAAATTAATGTGCATGCATAATATTAATATTTATGAAGTAAATACGCTATACAGGGTGCCCCAAAGGGGACCAAAGCTGTTGAGACGGCGTGTTGTTTAGGGATTGAATTGCCTTATAGCACTCTGCTGAACCCAAGTGCATAAAAGCTTGACAAAAGTAAATTTTACGAATAAAGAAACTGTTTAAGAAGTTGCTTTAAATTCCAAAGAGCAGAAAATCGTGAGCTAGCTTACAAAGATATTTTGATTTCTTCAATACTCATATTATATGCATCATGTCGATCATATTTTACGCATCTTTGCGTTCAGTTTGGTGCTGAGGCATTCGGATTCTAGCAGTGCGTTGTTTCAGTGGGGTTTTTTTTGGGACACCCTGTACAGTATACTGTGAATTAAAAGGTCTATATGTTAGGAAGAGGAGGGGCACCATGCAATGGACTTTACGTCCATGGGGGTTTTTTTTGGGACACCCTGTACAGTATACTGTGAATTAAAAGGTCTATATGTCAGGAAGAGGAGGGGCACCATGCAATGGACTTTACGTCCAGTTTGTGCCTTAATTGTCCGTTTGAGTACAGCTCTTTTAATTGTATGTTAGATGAATATTTGTTAAATTAATTTGTACTCAATAAAGTTTAAAAACAAACAAACAAATAAATAGGTATTCAATTTAACATCAGAATAACTATTTTGTATAATATATTCTCATATTAACATTTCATCAACTTCATATTGACAAGAACATGGTTAGAAAATAAATTACACGCATTTATGTGATTATAGGTTTACTTCCTAGCGCATGTGTTTGGACTCGGGTGTTGCTCCTGTGTGTTTTTTTATGACTTTTATGGACTTAATCATTGTTTCCCAAATATTCAAGTTCCGCGTCCAGCACTTCCATTTTCCTTTGGTGTTGTATTATTGTATTAATTTTCTTTGTAACCATGCAGGAGCTCTATTTCCGCTTCATGCTGTTGGGTAACGTTTGTAAATCTAAATATTGTGCTTGGGCATCGGATATTTCTGATTTCCTGGTAAATGGCAACGACAAGACAGCCACGACGACAGACGGTTGCAATTCGCGTTTGTTCTTACTGTAGTTGGGGCCAATGACTCAGTTTCATCATGATGTCGATTTCTATACAATAACCACGTAATCAAATAATTCACATGTTATCTATGGTATATTGATTTACCATGACTTGTGTTGATGTTCAGAATAGGCAAAACTATCCCCAACACTTTTTTAATTGCCAAACATCTCTTTTAGACACACCTGACTGGGAATTAAATTCTTCTGAGAAAGCCTTCCCACACTCTGTTTTTTTGTTGTATCGTTCTGTATCATTCCTTTTGTTTTCCAAAATAATTGTGCTTTCGCACTTTTCCAATGGCGAAAAATATTGTCTACTTTTTTTCGTATATCTTGTACAGTACCTGCGGCAACGACGCACGAATGCAATTGATGATTCTACAACAATACATGCCTCTATTAATACCCTCATCAATATTCAACGTTTTACACACACTCCAACAAGCACACTCGAGGGCGCTCTTTGAATACAAATCTGCCTAATATGACTAATATTTTCAAGCGTGCGTGCTCCCTCTCTAGCTCACACTTCAAGCTCACACTTCAAGCTCACACTAGCTCCACTCTCTAGCTCAGACTTCAATTGTACTTGAGTGTATCTCACTCGAGTCGTACTCAGGTGTGAGTGTGAGTGAGCTTTTAGAATACGGACGTTAGGGGCGTAACTCTTTGTTTCCTATCCCGGCCCGAGGAAGTCAATGATCCAATAGGCAATTCCAGCTACAGACTAAATTTTGATCTAGGCAAGAAGAACAAAATCCATCACTACAGCTAGACAGATCATGTTAACATTGGTAAAATTGCAAAGTTTGGTGGGGAAATGTTGTAAAATGAGGAAAATATAGCCCTGCATGTGAAGTTCACAAATTTTGTATAGATTTGTATTACGCGCGGTAAAAATAACTATTTTTGAGCCGAAAGACAAATCTATACAAAATTTGCGAACTTCACAGGGCTATATTTTCCTCATCATTTTACAACATTTCGGAACCAAACTTTGCAATTTTACTAATTTTAACATGTTCTTTCTAGCTGTCGTGATGGATTTTGTTCTTCTTGCCTAAATCAAAATTTAGTCTATAGGATAGCTGGAATTGCCTATTGACAGTTGCATGTTGACCTACCAAGGCTGAATAATTTCGCAATGAACAATGCATGATGATCCACCAAGTCAAATTCCTCCTGATAGTCACGAAACGCAGCCCTTACTGTTGCACCAGTTCCATCTGTGTTTGCATTGCTAGCCAGCGATGAAACATTGATACCATGACGAGCCTGGAATAAACGGCCCATATTGATTAGGATCAATAAACATAAGCATGCTGGTTTTAAATCTCTTTCGATCACTATGTCCTCAGCAATCTTTGATAAGGTGGACGTCAACGATATATAGACCTCTGATCGTTGCTAAAATCGCAAATGGTAGCTGCCTTAGACAGCGGAGAAACATTAGCGAGCTTCCAGATGTGAGGAACACGACAATCATGAAATGAGGAATGTAGAATGACAGTGATTGAATGTGCAGCGAGAATATCCGAATATTCCTCAGTTCAAGACCCAGTTTGGAAGATCATCAGGACCACCTGCTCGTGCATGATGTACTTATTGCCAAACGTTGTTATTTTTGCAACAACGGATTCGGTGACAGTAATTGGTTCAACGCCCTCTACAGTAACACGATATCATCAAATTTCAAGGTTGGGTCCCACCAGTTGGGAGGCTTGCTGCTATGAAAATCTTTCACTGATAGTACGACACATTTTCCTTTCACGCTTGACTTTAATACGCAGGACCTTGAAAAGCATCTCATTCCCTGAAACAAAGGCTTTCCGTCGACGAGCAATAAGAGACAATAAATTGGCGAAATTCTATGCAACTGCGAGTAACGCCATGAAAAGTTAGCAAAAGTTGTGCAGTTTGTCTTGAAATTGAAAGTCATAATATTTATTATAAGTGAATGCTATATTTGTTTTCTACATACAAATAGTATCTAGTACAGGTTAAAACAATATTTAAACAAGGTTCGGTATAATATATCATTTAGCTATAGACCTTTCACTTAATACTACAGTACATGCAGTGGACCAGGAACTGCGTGACCGAGTTGTGTGACAGATCTTGTGCAAATCGAGATTTTGACTTGATAAACAAAAAATAGGTACGCACTGCGTACATGTGGCTAGCCTACTCAGCCTGGTCGAATACAGCCGGACTTCACATTGTCATGAACATTCATCACAAACATTCATTTTGATACAAAATTAATCATTACAATAGAAGAATGGTCAAAATAAAACAGATGCAGTATCTTTCTTACAATGCCAAAATGGTTAGAATCACTTGATTTAAAAGCAACATGGTTTTGCTTTAATAATGATATAATACATACAGCAACTAATAATGTCAATTTTATTTTGTTTTTCAAAATTGCACTAATATGTAATTCACTAAGATTTTATTACACCGGTTTCTTGTTACAGATATATTCTGTTGTCTGGTTTACAAGTTATTAGCTTTTCTTGAATTGCTGGCATTGCAGATTTCATAAAACCTTTAAATTCAAAGTTCTTCATTTAACATAATGTATTTAATAACATATTATATTATATTTCTAAACATTTTTATTTATTGTAAGATCTAACAGCATCGGAATTTATAATGAACTCATCAAATCAATTATGTCATCACCGACACCACTAACTTGTATTGCCCTGACACTTGTGCAAATATCCTGATCTTCCTATATTATCCAATATTATCACCAGTCACCACATTATCAGAAAAATTGATCAGAATATGTGTTCACTTAGTTGTTTGAAGTACTGTAGATGCCATGCATCACTATGATTTTGAATTGTGCTTTCATCTGCAAATTGTTTAAATTAAGAACCAAATATTTACTGGCAGCTCACAAGACTGACACATTGTAAATGATGCAGGTATAAATTTAACCCATGAACATGCTATTCAATTGACACTGCTGTTAAGTGCTGAAAAGAAATGTTGAAACATGTCGATATGACCTCATCACATGGCTGTGGGTTTTCTTCTTCATATATACCCTCGTAACTGCAAGGGTCAGTGTTGTATGGTGATTGCACTAATGTTCAGAGACGTAGCAAAGCATCTGAAGTTTGGGGTGGGGGGTGGGGTGCCGGATGTCAAATGGTCATCATTTTACAAAAATAACGACTTTGTTACACAAAGTTTACCTGAAAATGTCAAAATTTACAATATACAATCATGAGTTTTACCTGAGTTTCACAGTTGTTGGATTTACACCCCCCCCCCCCAAACACACACACACACACACTCCCGTGTCTCTATGTCCCTGCTGATCCTAGATCAGATATGTTATTTACATCTGGACTAGATATCCAAAAATAAATTGCACCTACAGTTGCATTTCCTGGTTTAATAGGTCTAATGAATGTAAAATAATACATTTTCACTTAATTACTTCCATCTAGAAGATCCTTCAACTGTATGTAAACAGACTGAGCTTCCAGGCTAGTGACTACAATAGACTATATTAGCATAAATTCATAAAATAGTCGCGCCTGTTTTCTGTGTTAATTGTAGTTTTATACCTGCAAGTGGATAGGGCAGTTTTAGTATCGTTGTAAAATATGTAAACAATGGGCTTGCTTCTTATAAATTTACCCACATAATGGATAAAAATTCAAGATCTGTGCAAGAACGTTTGATTATAAAACAGGATTATAAACTCACTATATAAAGCTTTATATCAAGCGTGATCAAAATCTCCTTGATTTCTCCTAACTTACCTTTTGTAGAACTTCTCTTATCGTTCGCAAAATTTTCGTATTTTTTTAAACAACAGCTGTCGAAAAGACCTCAGAACTAGTGATGGGCGATACCGAGTACTCAGTATTCGATACCAGCGATACCACAAACAGCGGTATCGGTATCGATTACTGACGTGGTATCGTTCGATACTTGCAACCTTTTTTAAACGACTTGTTTAATTTCACTTCTTGGTTGAATAAGACTTAATGAACCACTAAAAGAACTCTTAATATTCCAAATGTGGTGCGCCAAGTCATGTATAGAAAATATTTATTACGTTTCGGGCTTTTGGTTTACTTATAGCTTTATTTATTTTACATAGTAATGCAAAATGTTTTTCCGCTGACCGGCATGTATCGAAAGTAGCCGATACTAGCAATTTAAGTACTCACTTCCGGTATCGAAAATTGAAATTTTGTGTTTATTTTGGTATCGAAATAGGTATCGGTATCGGCCGATACCGATCTTAAAAGTATCGGTATCGGTATCGAATTAAAAATCCTTGTATCGCCCATCACTACTCAGAACGAAAATATTTGTTTGCATGAAATGTTTATCAGGCATGAAGTTCAAAAATTTCCGATGAAAACCGAAATAACCGATCGTCAAACTGTCGTGCCTCATCACTTCCGCCAAATTTCCGATGATAACCGAAACCACGAAACAAACGATCGCCATACTGTCGGCCTCACTTCCGCTCACGATAATTTCACGACAATCCGGACAGACATCGTTGACCGACCACCACCGCTCATCCCGTATCATAGTGGCTAGCCCCAGGGGGGGCTAGCCACAAAAATGAATAATCTAAATTACTGCTACGTTTTCCAGTATTCATTATTTTCCCAGTATTCAGTATTTATTTTTTCATTTCTGCTCAGTCGTGGCTTCATATTAAACTGCACGCTTGTGCTAAAAACAAATTGACATGTTTTTGTTTTTACCGTTCGCGAGTTTTCTCCCTCCCGTCACCCCTCTAATATTGCACTGACTTCACCCTTTTGCAAAATATTAGATAGAAGCATTTATCAGTAAGCTGGGGTTCCAAGAAATTAAAGAATATAGTCGAGGAGATATCATAATTTTACTATGCAATGGATGAGCCGCCAATGACTTCAAAAATGACTGCTGGAGAAGTGTTATAGTAAAAACGTCTAAAAGTAAAACAGTTTGATTCCCATTGATTAATTAGCCTGACTGCACTGCTTCATGGGTAAACATTAGGTGAAGCGATTATAAGAAGCCCGCTGGGACAATAGGACAAATAGTTCATACTCTTCTAGGTTTTTGAAGAATGCAAGGTCAACAGTCACAACATTCACAAAGTGTCGCCGTTTTGATCATTCTGCTCATTCCGACACTGAATGTTATACCTTTTACATAATCGGATAATCCTCAAACGTGGCGTCAGTCATGTGCACGCGTGCCAAACCTGATGTAAATTAGCTCAAACAGTCAGCCTCATTGCTTGAGCTCATTTGCATGAAGGAGGTGAAATGAATTCAAGTACTCGATTATAAAGCGATTTTGTTTTTTCAAGTTCACACGGGACGTATGAATCCAGATGAATGTGAGCACAACTAAATTTGTCCTGTCTCGTGTGAATGTCAGTTTCTGAGTTCATGTGCAGCTTGTCAAAATAAAATATTCTTCCGCATGCCAAAACATTGCCACGCAACAGCGCATCATCGAACCAATTCGAAAAGATCAAATTTCTACGCATCAAATATAAGCTTGGTCGCCTGTCTGAAGGACGTCCTGACGTTTTCTCACTGTTATAGATAGTAGCGTGCTAACAAGAATTAAATAAAAATGACTACGAATCTTGGAGCGAGTTTCGAGGGGGATCAAAATGAAAATGGTGAGTATTATGTATATATATATAATATATTATGTGAATTTTTCCTTCGCGTTGTATAGCGTTGGCGGTTGACATACTTGTATACTGTAATACAGCGTTTTCTATATATCTTAAAATGAAATTCATACTGGGAAAATTGAGAGTAACAAACTGGCCCAACTACTTCTCCCCAACTGCTTCTCAAAGACTGAAACCATTTCCCTATCAGGAAAACCTGCCCTCGACATAAACTTCAAAGCGTTTTGTTTAAAGTCTCGTGTACACAGAAAATACACATTGCCATATGGTATATACATGATCAGTGTATGTGTTAAATGTATACTGTGACTGAGTCGGATGTTCGCTAAAACTAAGTTGGTTCAAAACATCATATGTCTTTAATACCTTACAGTGCTTTATAGTCTCTCTGTCTCTGTACAGAATAATTAAATTATATTAATTAATGACAATTCATCTTCAATAAAATTGCAAGCATCAGGAAATTTAAAATTAAGCAATGCACGTTAATTTAATAGGCCTTAATACTGTGAGTCTTTGTTGTTATAATTGATCTTTTGTCCGCGAGTTTTTCCCGTACTGCCCCAACCTACCAACATTTCTCTGAAATCATTAACCTGCATGCGTAGCCGCGGAGCTAGTTTAACGGTCGGCAGATCTTGCGGTTGTTTTTTCCCATGCCTCTTACATGATCTACAATGGTCAATGTGCGAATAATAATTGAAACTAAGATGTTGTCACAAATCTTTAGCTTTAAAAACCAAAACGCTAGGGGAAGCTGTGTAGCTCTGCGGGGGTAGGGAGATTATTATTGGAGAAGAACCAAGATGGCCGACTTATTAAAGTTTATATTTCGTAGTTTTATTAAAACATTATAAAAAAGTATGTGACTCCAATAATTTTCCTGCAATTGACTGTAACCAAGACCGGTTTTACAAGAATTCCGTGACAGATGTTTCACATTACACACAACGTTATAGTTCAAGAAATGGATAAATGCTGTGCTGAGTGGTTATATTACTACCTTAAAGGTGCCCTACAGTCCGTATGTAAACAAAGCCTTTGTTTACATTTTTGTGTCCAAAATATTGAGCTTTATTCGACAACTACTTATATTTTCAAGCTTCTAGAGTATAATAAATGATCAAGAAACAACAATCAGGCTTTTCAAGAACCCAAAACATAGTTAAACTGTTTATATCATAAAAAGTGGGCTCCTTTGTGCACATGCGCAGATCGGACTGTAGAGCACCTTTAAGAAACAAGCAGAAACTCGACGTTTCGAGCGAAGGCCCTTCGTCAAGAGTTAGTAGCAGGGATCGGGGATAAAATGCACGGGCTTTTATACTAAGAGTGACAAAAAATAAAATAAACCAATTAGATGCATTTAATCATGTAAATTGCATTACAGAATATAATATAATTAAAAATATACATGCAGGAAGCTAAGACAATTACTACAAAAACTACAGTAATCAAAACAAAACACGAAGACATGTCTCCTGGATTGTCTATGATGCATGGCATTAAACATAAGAAAAGCGTTCATTATAGTGAACAGTGCCAAGTTTGGATATGAGGCGCATTTCATGTCGTTTGCGGCTATCGTCGCTTCCAGAAATGAGACAGAGGGCTCGAATTACCATATCTGAAACACTGTGGTAGCAGATAGTCAGCTGACTCCCAGCTGATTCAACCGGCAATAAATATAGTAAAATTATAATGCGTTTTTCTGATTTTCCTATATTTCCGTATTTTAAATAGCTATATTGAGATTCGATGTAAATATTGTTCGACTTTGGTTATTTTACCTACTTTCGTAATGAAGAAATTGGTGTCAAGAAACTACAGTTCATTAATTATTGAAATCTGTGTTCGTATAATATCCTAAAAATGACCAACGATATTTAGATATTCCATCGTAGAGTGCCATGCATGATTGTATTCTTAGCTAAACTATCGACTGAAATGCTCATATCATATGCAACTGTACGGGGTCAAAAATGTCAACAAACCCAAACTATGTTAACATACATTCATTGGTATGAAAGAAGTGAGAAATCGACGCTGTATGATACAGACTTAGAACGCGCAATAATCAGCTTTATTTATCAAAGTTCAGAGGTCGGCTGTAGGCGTTCGCAAAACGTTTGTGTATACATTTAAAACATACTAGAAACGTTAGTGGCTAGCCTACACGCAGACTATATAATATATTATGTCATTATATAGAAAAACATACTAGAAACGTTAGTGGCTAGCCTACACGCAGACTATATAATATATTATGTCATTATATAGACTGCGCGCAGCCGCGCAGGGTAGTTAGTGGCTTACTTCTTCGCTGGTTATTATACTTTAAAATAATTTTGTATATACCGAGAAATCAATATTCCGAGTATATAAATCTATAAACTGGGATGTCACACTGATAGCTTGTTTACATTTCCCGGAGCATCAAATCTTATGTTTAACCACGGTGGTTTAACCCATTAGCTGGCAATGCGCTCTTCCCTTGTCCAGCGCCAGAACATTTTACTCGTCAGTGGTACAGGGTACTGCCAGTAAATGGGTCAACAAACCTGTCTGCCAATGTCTCTTGTTCATCCATCAGCGTAGTATTGACCCCTACTTTAGTACAGTACCCTGTCCAACGCCAGACGATTTTTAATACTCAGTCAGTGGTAGCTAGGGTACTGTCAATAAATGGGTTAACAAGGATAACAATAATAGGATGTTTCTGAAGGACTCGTTCAACACCCTGTAGTTTGTCTTTGCTGCCAAAGGCAGCATTACTGCCCTGTGGGTAACCTACAGTCACATGATCACACTAAGAAATAAATCCTACTCCACCATTACATCACAATCATTCAAACTCATCATACAATAAAGGCTAACAAGACATTTGGTAAAAAGACTAATTACATGTAGTAGTTATATGACTCTTATATCATTTTTCACTCTCTTTCCACTTTTCATTCATTTTTTGTTACTGTGTAATTGGTTATTTTCAAAAACTTCATAATAATTTGTTTTTCTCTTGGTCTCACATTATTATCCGAACTCCTAAACTCTCCTTCCTTCTCCTCCGCAAATTCTACCTACACCCCTCTTAAAAAATCCTGCTGAAGAAGACTGAAGGTCGAAACGCGTGCAGGGTTGCCTTTCCTACTCATTTTCAATCCCAAGTCGCTCTTATATCCTCGCCGTTTATCGTGTCCACATAATATTTCACCTTTCTTTTTAGTTCCTATATATAATCGTAGTTTCCATAGTTTATTATACGTATATGTTCACCATAAAATCGGAGTAAACTGCCAACCAATTTTGAATTATACTGCAGAGATTGTCTATTTGGCGTGGGTGGGTGGGTCGTGCGTCGTGGGTCGTGCGACGTGGGTCGTGCGTCGTGCATCGTGGGTCGTGCGTCGTGGGTCGTGGGTCGTGCGTTAGTAAATCGCAAAAAAAAATTTAAAACCGAACTATACCATGAATTCAGTGCAGTCGCGTTTGCGTAAAAGTAGGCCGTATATATATACGGAAATTGTCGCATATCTCAACGGGAATTTTAGGTAAATTTAAACCGATAACTACATTGAAAAGCGCTTTATAATGAGATTGTCTATTTGGCGTGGGTGGGTGGGTCGTGCGTCGTGGGTCGTGCGTCGTGGGTCGTGCGTCGTGCGTCGTGGGTCGTGCGTCGTGGGTCGTGCGTCGTGGGTCGTGCGTTAGTAAAGCGCAAAAAAAAATTAAAACCGAACTATACCATGAACTGCCAAAATTTTGCACCAATCTTTTTAGCTATATGCCACATCTCTATTAACTATGACCACATTGGCAAAAATGCTGGGTGAACTTGTGGGTGGTTGAATTTAATTACAGTAATTTAACTTGTAAAAGACATCGGTGACCTCCAAATTTAGGCTGTTGCGGTATATCGATAAACCGATAATTATCTTTTTTTTATCAAAATACCGATTACTCGATATTGGAATTTTCAATATATCGGAATATCGATATTTTTCGGTATTATCGATATCACGTTTACGTTTGTATATTTAAACGCCATATCAAGCTTTTTCAAATTTCAAGCGCTGATTGAAGTTACTCAGAAGGACAAAGACGATCAATGTGTTAACTCCGCGGGAAAATCCGTCAATTAAGGTTAGAACGCGATCTAAAACGTGTTTGTTTATACGTTACGTTGGCGTACGTTGCAAGGTACGGTAATATGTCATTTCGCTTAAGCCTAGTTTCCATTAAATCGTAATCATCGCAATAGTCGCGGAACGCAGACATCGCTATCGCAAAAATCGCAGTAATTCTATCTTTGCGACTTTGTCGTAAGAGTCTTAGTTATCGGTGTGACTCAGGTTTTCAACTGCGATTTATTGAAAACCTGAGTCACACCGATAACTAAGACTCTTACGACAAAGTCGCAAAGATAGAATTACTGCGATTTTTGCGATAGCGATGTCTGCGTTCCGCGACTATTGCGATGATTACGATTTAATGGAAACCAGGCTTCAAGTTTCCAATAAATCGCAGTTTTTATTAAAATTTTCGCGTTTTTAAAATCGTTGCGACGCTTGTGATGCGGTTCTTGCGATAATTACGATTTAATGGAAACCAGGCTTTAGTTATAGGTAATATGTCATTTCGCTCGTGAACTTTTAGAACGTAAACAACGGTGGATTACAAATGTTTTAGAAAAACAAGAACTAACCTCATTGGACATTGTTAGTTTTCTGCTGATATATGACGATCTTTGTTTCGAACTCGCAGTTGAATAAAATGTTTTGAAACAATTTCCCGGACAAAAATATCACACATGTTTCATCCGATGCAGTAATGATTTCTTTTAGTACACTCAATTGTTTTGACAATTTATTAAAATACCGATCTAAATGGTGAATTTTCCATTTTTTTGAAAACTGTGTCACTCCATTTTTTTGAAAACCGTTACGGCCTACTTTAGGGGTCGATTACATGGAGAACTTTCAACCCCGGGGTTGAACTCTGCCCTGTTAACCGGGTTGAAATCTTTTGCGATTACATGGACGATTTCAACCCCGGGGTTGAAACGCTATACTATACGTTCTCGGCATCGATTCCCGGAAGTAAAAAGGCCTTTATTTTGTTTTCTTGTAATAAATAATCTCTACCACGTATGCTCGAATAACTCATGATAATTTCAACCCAGGGCTGAGTTCAACCCCGGGGTTGAAATTTCAACCCTGCTAGCTGAAGCAGGGTTGAAATTTCAACCCCGGGGTGAACTCAGCCCTGAGTTGAAAATTTTGTCATGTAATCGCGCGTTTGATTTTGATTGAGTTTTGTATTACAAACAGGGCTGAAATTTCAACCCAGTAAACAGGGCTGAGTTCAACCCCGGGATTGAAAATGCTCCATGTAATCGGCCCCTTACGCAAACGTGAATTCCAATTGCAACTTTCATGCTTACTTTTGTCTGTTATCTGGGCGGTATGCTAGCTCGTCAAAATTTTAAGTATTTAAACGGATAACTGCATTGAAAAGTCCTTCAAAACAGTACATTTCAGTTTAAGGATTCTTCAGTCAGGGTGGGGCAAAATTGCTAAAGGGCCCATTCTCTCCTTGTCCTCCCCCATGCAGGATAGTATACACTCTAAAAACACTCTGGTTAAATTTGGGTTAATTCAACCAGTACGGGGTTAAAAATCCACCTACACAAGTCTGGTTAAAAAAAATTAACCATTTTCCTGGTTAAAAGTCCAAAAAAGTGTACCAAATTTTTGTTGAATTGATAATTTTTAACCAGGAAATGGGTTAAATTTAACCAGAATGTGTTGGGTGGATTATTAACCCAATTCCTGGTTGAATTTAACCAGAGTGTTTTTAGAGTGTACGATCGCCGAAGGTGTGAGCCGAGTACCGTAGGCTCGAGTTAGCTAGTGATGGTTTTAAAATTTGGGTCTCTGAAATAGCATTTCGTTCATTCTAAGGACACATTTCTTAAAAAAGTTTTAATCAGGTGAAATTTGTAATAAATTGCATGCTAAACATTCAAACACAACATAAGTTCAGTTCAAACACAACATAAGTTCAGTTACTAGTATGCTGCACCAACAAATTTAGTTTATTAAACTTTTTTTCAATGTTAAACTCATTTACTCATACAAGTCCTAGGGACCTGGCTTTGGGGCAATAGCCATTGCCATTTTTTTTTCACCAGTCCACAGTATTAAAAAATGCCTTGCTTCAAAAATAGCACATTACACTCATGGCATAAAATTAGATTACAACACGACTGGATAACAGTCTTACCAGAGGAAATCATGAAAGTGGCAATTGCATGCAGTCGCGTTTGCGTAAAAGTAGGCCGTACTGAAATTGTCATATCTCAACGGGCATTTTAGGTATATTTAAACCGATAACTGCATTGAAAAGCCCTAGAAAAACAGCACATTATAGTAGCATAAAATTGGATTACTACATGCACAGATAACAGAGAAAATTAAGCATGAATGTTGCCATTGTAATTCGCGTTTGTGTAAAAGTAGGCCGTACTGAAATTGTCATATCTCAACGGGAATTAACGTTACTTTTAGGATGATGACTGCATTAAAAAGCCCTTGAAAAACAGCACATTATAGTGGCATAAAATTAAATTACTACATACCCATGCAGATAACAAAGAAAAATAAGCATGAAAGTTGCAAAGGTTGGGATTTTAATTCTGCATGAAAAATACAAATACCACTCTATATGCCTTCATATCCGCATTTTACCCTCTCACCGTCCGTTCGCATTTTACCCTCTCATCCGTCCGCATTTTACCCTCTCATCCGTCCGCATTTTACCCTCCTGTCCGCCCGTTTTTTACCCTCTCATCCATCCGTCCGTCCGTCTGCCGTCTATCTGTCTTAAAAAATATTTCCATTGTCTATACGACGCTCAACACCGTACCCACGACGCACGACCCACGACGCACGACCCACCCACCCACGCCATTTAGCCATCCTCCACGGAAAATGTTTTATATTTGTTAAATATAAAACATTTTCCGTGTCGATATACAGTTATATCAACACGAGTGGAAATTGGGAAAACGAGAAATTGTGTGGAAACACGACGTCCGTTTCGCAAAGTACCTGCCTCCCCGGTATGTATCTGCGAAAAATTCACTCTACTCACAAGAAAAATTACTGAAAATCTCGGAATATAAAAAATATATTGATAAGCTCTCGCTGTTGTTTTCCCGCTACATACATAATTAATATTCCATGTGCTCGCGTGTAGCACACGCGAGATGTCCACGTAATTAACCGCTCAGTTCCGACACACTCCCCCGTATACACTTTGTAACAATAACACAACACAAAATTAAATTTAGAATAATTGTCAATATCTCAAGATCACTGTTCGTTACCAGGAGACACAGAACGGAGCGTATAGACGTGCTAAAAATTGCTCGAATAAAAACATGCAAAATTCAGAATCGAGCTTCACTCAGGGCTATAGAGTTAGCCTTTTGCGTGGCATATCAACGAACGACAAAGGCAAACTGACATGGGCCGATTCGCTAGAATCGTTGAAGCTGTTTGTCGAAGAAGTTTTGAATATCGCTAACGGCATTTGGATTTGTCCTGGCGGCGAGGCGAAGCAATTTAAGAACAAAGACTTAGACATTCGCTGGTATCCTACGACAAAATCAATCACTGTGAGTGGAAATCTAAAGAACGAAATCAAAGAAAAGCTTCATTCCCTAGCTTTTATATCAAAACAACTGCAGGTAAATGCTGAAAATAACGAAGAAGCCCCAGACCATGACGACCACAACGATAAGTATACAAATCATTCTTTTGTTAACGACGACCCGCAATATCCCAAGAGTTACTTCAAGAGCTCAGCTCAGAGTCCCCTACTAATATAGCTGCTAAGACTAAGTCATTTATAGATCACAGTACATCAGATAACGTTGTTGCCGCAGATAAGAATACGAATATTGAACATGAAAAACAAGGGGAAGACATCTTGCATACTGAAAGTACAAACCAAGATAAATCGACCAAGAAATCGTTAACTATGGAAATGTGCTTAACATGCCGACTAATCTGCATAAAGTTTCTAATGAATGCGAAGAGCACGTAAATACAACTAATCCCCCGAGAGACACATACAATAAATATAAATGGGACTCTGAAATTAGTGTATTGAAAACCAAATTTGAGAGGTTCGCTCAAAGCGTAACGAATAAGTTAGAAGATATTTCCTTTGAAGTAAACAACATCAAAGAGAACAAACCGTATTCTATCTTAGTATTGGAAAATACAGTTAATGATTTAAAACAAGAGAAGCATGAGTTGAACAAGAAGGACGATGATCTTAGGGAATTAAATATGACTATGTCTCACACCATATCGGACTTGAGATTAGCTAATAAGAACCTTGAAAGCAACAGGTTCTCCAGCAACAGGTTCTCCAGCTTCACCTACCACTGGTGGTCGGTTGGTCTTAATTCTTGTATAGTCACCCACGCTTAGAATAACATGAATCGGTAATTGGTCTTTCTTGTCGTTGTCGGTCAAGTTGACTTGGGCTAGGTGGGGGTACTTGGCTTTAACGTGTTCGTACTGTGGATTGTCTATTGACAACAGTTCGTTCTTGTCAACCTTTGTGAGCTTTGCATCCATCTTGAAGGAGTTGTCAAGGGATTCAACAATAACATCATACGTTTCCATTCTCGTAAGGTGAGAGCCCATTAACATCTCGATACGTTTGGTTGAAGCTTCCGAGGGTTTCTTGTTCAGCAAATCTCCGACTTTAGCTGAGATATAGGAGCTGCCGGCTCCCGTATCGATCAGTGCTCTCGTTATGATTCCGTCCAATTTAAGCAAAACCACTGGGAAAACTCCTTCCCCCACTCCACTTGGTGTTAATACCACATTCTTGATCTCTTCCGGCTGAATTTTGTCACATATTGATGTATGATGTCTCCTATGACAAGTTTGGCATGATGTTTTGCTTTGGCATTGTGCGGCCTGATGAGTCCCAACCGCACAGTTGAAACACAATCGCTTCTTCGCCAGAATCTGTTTCCGGTCAGCTACGGCAGTAACTTTAGTGCATTCAACAGCTTTGTGCTCACTACTGTCGCAGTAGATGCACCGTCGAGATTTGTCAGTTCGATTGGTGAGGTACATCCTCTCTCGTTCTCGACGCTTCTTCGTTTGATCATCATCTCGACTAAGATCAACTGGGTTTCTCCGTATTCAAAGACGCACTGCTCTGCTAGCTGATCAAGATTCCATGTCTCCCAATCACTGTCAGATCTTACAAGATCACCCCGTATACCTGGCAACTTTTCAATGGTAACCATAGTAAGACCCTTCACTTCGTCCAGCTTCTTGGGCGACTGCAGGGACTGGACACAATATGTCAGTTTGTCACTAAACTCGGCAATTTTCTTCGAATTCGCTGTCGAAATGTATGGTAAGCTCAAAATTTCTTTCACACAAGACTTCACTAACTCTGATTCTTTGCCATATTTTCCCTCCAATATAGCCTTTGCTCGATTGTAGCCTTCCGATGTAAATGGTAAGGACTCAACTTCACGTCTGACATTGTCTCCAAGAAGTTCTCTCAGATATGAAAATTTGGCAATGTTTGCTAAACCAGATTTTTGAATCGATTACCGGAATTGACCCCAAAAACGTTGCCAATCCATGTAATTTCCGTCAAATTTTGATATTACGAGTTTCGGTAGTTTCGCTTCCACTTGCTTGGCATGAATTTCCTTCGACGAACTTTCACTTTCCAACTTCGCTTGATGTTCGGACTCGAGTTTTAGTTTAGTTTCATGTAGTTTTATCTCAACCTAGTTCCCAGGGCTTTTCCCTTTTTGTCATTGGGAAGGCGGGAAAAGGCCTTGGCACCGGCCGATCACATCACAGGAGGCCCAGGCTCGATTTTCCCGCGCCCGCCTGTGCCTTCCTTATAACGAGGGAAGGACGGAGACATTGAGACCAAAATAGCCCAGACTTGGCATATGTCACACGGAACTATCCTCGATTTTTCGCTTTTAATGCATTTCTTTCGCGATTAATCGATATCCCCTGCAAGAATGATACCGTATAACTCTCAAAACAACGATGCTTTAATCAAAGAGCTTAAATTCGCTATGAAATCCGTGAGGGAATAACAAAATTCGGCCAAAATATATCCGCGTGCCGGGTTTGCTGTGCAAAAAGCTGAACAACTCAAAATACACTCAACCCTGATTGGACAACGAATATCAACAAACATTTCAAATTTTTTTAACAGTACTGTAATAATTTCAATCATGCAATGAAAACTATTCACAAACGTTATAAAGTGTAAATATTACTGCATGTAAATATAACTGTAGTACGTTAATATGTATAATAAATTGTATTTCACATTGTGTTTGTTAAAAAAAATTGAAATGTTTGTTGATATTCGTTGTCCAATCAGGGTTGAGTGGCTCTTTTCTGTAATTGGCCTTGGGAGTTCCCAGAGTGGGGTGAACTCTTGTAATAATTCAAATGGTTGAATAATGAAACACGCAAGAACTAAAGATCCGAAAGCATTCAGTTTTCGTTTCGCCCCAATATTGATTTACTTCCAACGGCCTTGAATTTTAAGTTTAAATGAACGGACATTATAGCTCTTGTCACCTTATGCAGATACCGGATAATTATACGTTTATTCTTGCATAACGAAACTACTCTGTATATAATTGCCCAATATTTTGCTGCTGGAATTTTTCGACCATATCTTTGGCGTTGTAATCAGTCCACGACGCGACGCATTTATTCAGATGTTCACAATTCAGAGCGTTTTCGATAATTATATACGTCACACATACTTTTTGGTCTTGGAGCTTCGCTATCATTAGTAAATTATGCAAGGTGATTGGCTCACGATTCGTGAGAGCGAAGCTCCCAGGCCAAATGACGTAATTATCGAAAGGGTGTATTCAAGAATAATACTCTGACAGTAGAAAACTTGTGTAAAATCCATTATAATTTTAAGAAATTTTCGACATTCTGAAAAGTTACCCTGTATAAACTCAAAATACACGAAAATCATGAACAATTTAAAAATCATGACAGTCATAAAATTCTGCAGGGCCGAAATACTGTCTGCTACTTGTCTCGTATGACACTGTCCCTGCATGTAATATAGTTTAAGTCTGACCTAAAGAAGCCTGTAATATAGTTTAGGTCTGACAATAAACCTGAATTTTATGTCTTCTTTTAATTTTCTTATATTGATGATATATTCGCCTTCACGTGAATATAAACTCATGCTGAAACAGCATGAATTTGAAATTCTCGACAAAACCACTAACAATCAAACCCGCGTCTTGACATTTGGTTATATATTATTTTCACGTCCACACGTCTTCAACATATCTATGTTCTTGACGTAACTTCCAGATATCTTTCTTTGCTTCCTCGTGTGAAAGACCTGATAAAAACGAATCCATGCATGCAGTTACAAGTAATATTTAAATACAACGTCTTCTGGGGTTTATTGCATGGAGATTCTCTTAAACCACTGCATTCCCAGCATTGAACGCGGAATACAAGCAACTACGGACGAGTCAGTGATCGTGGCATTTTTTGTCAATGTCACGTATTTGTGATGAAAAGTGTTCACAACCTAAAATCTTTTTGGCGTTCCTCTCAAAACTACTTTGTTTTAGTTTTATTTTGTAGTTTACACAGTTAGCAGTTAATATTAGAATGCTGTTTTTAGGGTTTGCAATCCAAGTATATATATATATATATATACACTCCTGTTTGATTCGTAATAACTTCTAAACCAGTAAAGTTTTTAAAGAGAAATAACTTGCATTAAATAGAGGAAGGACTAACTTAGATTTTGATATATTACAGTTGTATTTAACTTAAAAATTCACGGATATATTAATGTTAAAAATGGGGAGCATATTTTGGAATGTGTCTAAAATTAGCGAAAATCGGCATATCAAATATTAACTCCAGCGTTTGTTTGCTTAATGACATATTATGCTAACTTGTATTTCAGCGAATTATCGTTAAGGTTTGTAAGGGATATGGCGTAGATTTAGACATCTTACATGTAAGTCTTAGCTCATTGTTTCCTGAAATATGAACGTTCGAAATTATGCAAGTATTTAATATTAGGTCTTTGCAAACTTAAATGTACATGAAAGACTGACCATGGAAGGCAGGCGCTTAAATTTTTCGTATTCTTAAATAGCCTAATTTTTTTATGTTTTTAATGGGTTCAAACAGACTGAGTAGATTATTTCTCGGTTAGAGCAGGATGAATATTCTTTATTGAAGGAAATAATATTGCTTTTTGCAAATGCACATCACCGTATCAACGCTACTATTTTGTTACGTTTTGTTCCAAAAATGTTGCATGTCTCTGGGGAGTTGCTTAATTGTTATGTCTTATGGAGTTGTATGGTTTGATTGTGTTTCATATAATTCTCAGTTTACTCCATGAACTTGCCAAGATTAAGAAACGGCAAAAGAGTTTGGGTGTTCTTAACAAGATTTCAGAACGTTGCAGAAGTTAGAAGAGCTTCACAATTCCGTTGTGACAGCATGCCCTAATTCAGAACTACGAACGATCCAATGACGATCCTTCGCGATGCAGTGGTCTCATGAAATAAGGAAACGTATTCGTGCTAGGAACACACGCGAATTTCGGACGAATAAATCTTGCTTGTATTTTGTAGATATAATAATACTTTGTTTCATAATAAACAATTTGTCAAGTGTCATTTATTTACTGGTAATAGTGCATGTTTCAGTCGGGCAAATCTTGATTAATATTTGATACGCCGATTTTTGCATATTTCAGACACATCCAGAAATATTCTCCCGAATTTAAAGATTAATATCTCCGTGAATTTTTAAGTGAAATACAACTGTAACATATCAAAGTCTAAGTTAGTCCTTCCTCTATTTGATGCAAGTTATTTCTCTTTAAAAGCTATACTTGTTTAGATGTTATTACGAATCAAACAGGAGTACTTTTTTTTGGGCCACCCGGTATATATATATATATATATATAGGTGTATGGAAGTAGCATGCCCTTCCCCCCGCCCCCGCCAGTCACCACGTAGTCGGCAAAATATTGAACCCCAGTCGGCAAAACTCGAATTTGGATAGGAATGAAAAAAATTTCATATTTGAGTTACGGTGATTAAAAACTATTATTATATGGCAAGCATCACTTCCGGTGAAATGGCGGACTGCGATTGGCTGAGAAGCAGTTTCAGCGGCCATTATTTTCCGGTAATGGCCGGCGGTCCATTACGTAAAAACAAACGTATGCATTTTAAAACAAAACAGCAAAACGAATTGAAAATTATAATTTAATTTGTTATTAATAAGATATCTGCGAATGGTTTTTGGTGGAAAAGAAGGAATACATTGGATTTTTTTGTTCATGTACCACACTACTAATATGCATTTCAAATCATGCATTTCTTGTTTGTTTCAAGTATAAATGCCTATAAAGCCATATAATAAACTTTTTATTAACCTCGCTTGCTCGGTATGCACAGAGAAATATCGGACCTCGGTCTTTTTCTACAAATCTCACCCTACGGGCTCGGTCTGTACAAAAAAGACTTCGGTCCGATATTTCTCTGTGCAGACCTCGCGTTCGGTTAATTAGAAGTTAATAATGATAGCTAAGATGTGAAGAAACTTATGAAAATATTAGGGAAAAATGGAACGACCAACGGTAGTTTAACCGGAAATAAGATGAACATGTCCAGAAAATTTCTTTAGCCCCCCCCCCCCACTCCATTCAAAGTGGTATAGCGCCGCCCCTGCCAACAATTAGTTCTATCGAGTGAAATGCTGATATTACAATGCTGCGAAGGTTCTGAGAGCCGCTACGCAGGATATTTCAAGTAGTTTTCAAGTTCTCCAATTTTCTATTATGACATGGTTTTTCAACTCTTTTCAGATGTTTTGTCAATTTCAAACATACGACAAACGATATGGCAGAATAATGAAAACAATTTGGGACATTAATACAGTTTTTTCTACCAGTTTTGTTTAAAATTATAAAAGCGCGGGAAAACTTGTCTTCGCGAAATTTATTTGTTTGCAACAGCCTAGAAGTTAGTAATATTATTTTTTTCGTTAAAATTAGGTCAAATTTCCTTTAAACATACATGTAATTGAGTTTATTTATGCACACATATTTGTAAAAACAGGTTTATTAAAGCATATTATTTAGTTATTTAAGCAAATTCGCCGTCGATATATGTAGTAATGTTGTCGCTGTATTAGTCTCGCTGTATTTACTTTATCGCTTATTGACAATTTTGTTATAGAATTGTTTTGTTCGATATAATAAAACTCCTATTGTATTCATCTTCGCCCAATATGGCAAAATATTAAGTCTCGACTTCAATATTAGGCTCGACCCTCGGTCTCGCCCAATATGGAAGTCTCGACTTAATATTTTGCCATATTGGGCTCAGAAGAATCCAATAAGATATAATGTTTCAGTATAACGTGTTTGTCATTTATAACAGATCATGAAAGTACCCCAGTGGCACTTTATTATAATCCTGCATGCAGTAATCAAAACTCTGTATTCAAACAGGATATTATATTATACCTTTAATATTTTGCAAAACATCGATAAACGTTTCCAGCACATTTTTCGCCATGTTCTTTGCGTCCCTATAAATCCAAACAAATTTGATATATTATATCATGCAAGTGTATATATATTATGTCATTATTTTTTATGATTTTTATCGATAGTAGATTGTACAGTGGCACTTACCCACATACGAAAATAAATGCTCCAGAATTATAAATTAGATTGCACAATTCCTCTCCCCAAATTTTGATATTATCTTGTACATATTTCGGTGATTTAGTTTCGCTCGAATCAACTGGAGTGGCATCTCGAGAGAATGAAACTATAAGTTTCGTCAGTACGCCACTTCTTTCAAACTCTGTTAATTCGTCCCTAAACGAATAAACTATAGTTATTTGTTTTTGCAGAAAATACCAAGAATCAATTATTAGCAACTACTTTGTTAGAGAAACAAATCTATATACTGCATGTAAATATAGTTCATGATGCACGTACATGTAAGCAACAGCTATAGTTTGTAAAGTGAAAAATAACGCTGCATGTTTATAAATAAACTTATAGGCTTAATGTATAGCGCTAATATCCAAGCGTAAATCTAAGACCGAAAGCAGTCATGTCAAGGTCATGAATAACGCGCTGTTACACTAAGCAATGTTGACAAAAAGATTTCAGGATCGCATTGTAAATGATCTATCATAAAGGGCGTTTGTTAGAAAGTGGCTTTATTCTAACACACGACAATTTTATACGCTTATAAACAATACTTTTCATTACTTGTCCATATGGATAAGGGCATGTCAGCAAAGCAACCTACGAGTATTACAATTGTATAATACTGTATCCATACATGTTATCACATTGTGCAACTCTAAACAAAAACCATATTTACCTGAAAAGAAAATCCCGCTCCTTATGACGACAGCCATAAAATAACCAGGTAGCTCCAAACTTGGTATCGGGTGTGGCCTGTTTTTGCAGGTGCTGCCTGTAAGGAATGTGTATGACTTGCTTTAAGCTAATTGTGTGGCGTAGTCGGCAGAGCAACTGCCTTTCAATTGTGTGATGAAGATTCAAAGATTCAAATCTCTTGCTCACGCACGACTCGCGACATATCATTCGTGGGTTTTCTCCAGAATAGTACTAAAATATCAACACGTACGCCCGTTTTCTAAAAGCTCACTCACACTCAATGAGTGGAGGTTCAATCTGAGCTTTTCTTGAGTGTCAATGCTGTTTTTGAATAGCTGGAGGGTGAATTGTCACATATAGTAAGGTGCGACACTAACCCTCAAGCTATTCAAAAACAGCAATGACACTCGAGAGAAGCTCAGATTGAACCTCCACTCATTGAGTGTGAGTGAGCTTTTAGAATACGGGCGATAATCTTAAATACGAATAATTTTGAAAATTTTTCGCATTTTTCCGATTTTATAAGGTCACTCCTCCCCTCCCCGCTATGAACAAAACACAATATTAAACATTCAAGTAACGCTGCAAATCTTGCGAGTTTCAAACTCGAACCTCGGGCTCCGTCCACACTAATCCGCTTTCGAGGCGTTTTCGTATCGTTAGAACAACGTTATCTATTCCCTTGTGAACGGAGAACGATACGAAAACGGATTAGCGTGGACGTAGCCTCAGGAAATAAACAACATTGTTATATAGCTAGTGGTGAACACTAGACGCGTGATTGGCTGACTTGTGGTCACGTGGCTTTAGATAAATGTGAGTGAAAAATTGTTGAAAAATTGTTGCCCGCTACGACCGGCTATGTAAGATTTTCCAAGTTTGTGTTAAAATAAAAAATGCAATAGAGAAGAAAAATATATACAGGTAACAGGATATGCTGCTAAAATCGTTTAAGTAGATTCTTTAAATTTTAAACTTTTAATTTTGTCATAATTTTTTAATTTTTTTATAATTTTATTGACTTTGCCAATATTACCTAAAAATCATATATTATTTATTAACGGTTTTTGTTGTATGAATATTGTTGATTTTTCTTTCATCGCTATAACAAAGCACTCTCGCCAAAACAAAACTATTTCCCGAGGGAACAGACATTAGGGACTGCATGATCATAAAGTAACTGCTAGGGTGGGATGGAGGTAAATAAAAAAAATTGCCAATAAGTTTGGTCACCCATCTTAGGATGTAGATAAAAATTTCAAAGCCCATCTAATTATTAATATCTTTATTTTTTGAAGTACAGCAGACATGCATGGGTTTTTGTTTGGTGGCCCAACCGTGGACATACAAAAAAATTGGCAGTCCATCGAAACTGCCCAAAGATTTTCCATGGCCCATCCCAAATCACTCCAGCCCACCCTAGCAGTTACTTTATGACCAGTCCCTCAAGTGTACATTACCTGTGCTGAAGGAATCCAATGAAAGGAGCAACGCCAGTTCCTGGACCAATCATTATTAACGGACAATGTTTGTCGTGTGGTAGGTGAAATCCAGTGGGGTTGCGACGAATTATATACACCTGAAATGATGACAAAATTGTTGGGATATAAATTGTACTGCTTTAGACATTAAAAGCCAGCTTATAAGCATAAAGTATTCAATTGATTTAAAACATTACCGTACCTCTGGATGGTTACTTATAGATAACTCTTTTAAATTACTTTCAAGAGATACTTCTTTGTCTTCATTTTTCTCAGTTAAATGTTTTGATAATTTCTGCAGCCAGCTTGTGCAAACTCCATACCTATTCGTCAAGAATATTGATTTAAAAAAAAGCTTTCTATGGGCTTTAGGTCATCACACTATTGGGTCATCAATACTGTCAATATGAATTGACCAAGGATTCTTACCTTTCATTCCTAACATTATCAATGTGCGGAAATTCGACAATGTTGAACACAAATCTTAATTGTGTGTGATTCTCTAAAGGTGAGCTAAACAGATAAAAATATATCAATAAGTTAAAACGAGCGATAAATTATTTGGAGAATGCAAGATTTAAACGTTTTACATAGGAACAAAATACGGAAATCATATAATCTTCATATAATATAATCATATAATATCATAGAATGAGTTTATAATTAATTACAAAATGAATCTATCTCCAGTCGAACGCATAATTTATACGATAAAAAATATGGTCGGTCTAGTGTGGCCATGAACTTCCTGCATCATCGAAAATATTAACAACATAACGTTTTCTTACCATGCAACGGAGTAAGGTCTCGGCAACAGTCTTGGAAGATGCTCTAAACAGCGTTTTAAATGTAAAATATCAGCCAATACAGCCATATATACTTCCATAAAATGCCCCAAAACCTATATCTATTATTATTATTATTATTATGAAAAGGTTGTCATATATGTTGATTGATTATTATTATGATTATTATGAAAAGGTGGTCATATGTTGATTGATTATTATTATGATTATTATGAAGAGGTTGTCATATGTCGATTGATTATTATTAGGAAAAAAAAAATATGTGGGTTTCCCGACCCTACCTAGCTTTTGGACGTCGAAATCCCGACCCTAAACTTTTTTATCGGATCATGCTTGTAAGTGTTTCCACTTTAGAGGAAAAAGTTTGTGGAAAATAGAGGAAAAAGTTTGTAATAGAGGAAAAAGTTTTAGTCTAGGACCTGTATATGAGTTTGTATGCGTTTCATTTAGCACAGGTAATCTCAATTGTTTTAGGGTAAAATGACCATGGCGGTCAACATGGCATATGTGCCAAAAGCTGAATCCGGGACGAAAGTCCTGAAAATGACCCCGCCCTGAAACGGCAGTGTCAACATAGCTCTAACTTCAGAAAACAAAAAGCGATAGTCTTTCTGAAGTGCTTATAGTGTTTAGAAGGGTTGCTTTTAGGGGTGGTCATTGGAAGAAAAATTTGTCTAAGTATAATATTTTACAAGAAAATGACCATGCACCACCCCAAGTAAATTGCTGATTATGCATAAAATAACTAATATGCCTGGCAGAAATTAAATATTCTTATTTCCTAAAAAAAATTATCATGGGGTTAAAAACTATGCTTAATTTAATGTAAATATTGTTGATTTCATAAGGATTGTCATTGTTTTCTTTAAAGGACAATGGCAATAAATTTTTTTATTCCTGATATTGTCAGAGATTGCGTAATATTCTATGACGTTTATTTTGTGAACACATGGAATACTAATGAGACGAGCGTAGAGTTTTCATATGGCAGCGTTTTTGTAATAAAGTTTGTGTTATTTATATTTTAATGAGTCTGAACCACGCATGAGTTGAGCCTTGAACCTTGGAGAAAGGAGTCCTTTGAGAGTTTTAATCTAAGTATTTTACATGGTCCTTCCGAGCCGGATATTACAAAATAATACGTGAGTTTATACATCCGAATTTGAGCCGCCATATTGAAAAGATTCTGATACATAAATCCTGAACAATGGCCGAAAAAGAAGAGTTGACTCGAAAGAAAAGATGTCGAAACGGACATAGAACCTCAGCGAAACGAATTATGGCGTCTATAGGCGAAACTCTTATGAGTGTGGCGGAGAAATCGCAGTTAACTCCGCATATTGCGAAGTTAAAACAACAAAAGTCAACACTCGAAGCGAAGTTGAAATCACTCCGAGAGCAAGATGAAGCTATTTTGGCGCTGGTAAGTGTAGAGGACATAGAATTAGAGATTGAGCAAGGGGATATTTCACGAGAGAAAATCGAGTCTGTTATTATTGAAGTACAAATGGCTTTAGATGAATATGAGAAATCAAGTACTACACAATTGAATACTGAAAACAATGTCATAACCCCAGTTACCCCTATGCAACCCACTACATCCATAACAGGGAATAATTCAGAAACTGCCAGTAACCATGGTGACAACAGTATACAAGCTGACCCTTCAAATTTCATGAATAATTACACCAAAATACCCACAGTAAAGTTGCCAAAGATAAATCTTAGGGCATTTCGGGGAGATCCCACATCTTGGGTGACATTCTGGGATACTTTTGAGTCGTCAATTCACAACAATCCCACACTATCAAGTATTGATAAATTTAATTACCTCTCGTCACTTGTGGAAGGAACAGCAGCAGATGCAATTGCAGGATTAACCTTAACCACTCTAAATTATGAAGAAGCCATCAAAATATTGAAGAAGCGGTTTGGTAACAAACAGCTTGCAATCAATAAACACATGGATATTCTGTTAAATCTAGAGCCAGTTACTTCTCCACATAACTTAAAGGGACTGAGAACACTTTATGACACGGTAGAATCTCATATCAGAGCTTTGAAATCACTTGGGGTACAGGCAGAAACATATGGCAATCTATTATGCTCAATGTTACTCAATAAGTTACCTCAGGAATTGTGCATAATAGTGAGTCGAGAAGTACAAGGAGATGTTTGGGAATTGGGACACTTGCTTGAGTTGATTGAGAAGGAGCTAGAGGCCCGAGAAAGAGCAACTGCAAATACCAACAGGGAGACTTGGCCCCATTACCAAACAAAGAAATTTTCCAAACCACAACCCTCAATTTCAACCTTGCAGACAGGGGGTACATCACCGACATGCACCTACTGTCAGCAGTCACATACCTCAAATAGTTGCACCAATGTCTCTAACATCACAGCACGAATTGACATTATAAAGCGAAGTGGACGGTGTTTTCTCTGCTTGAGAAAAAAATCATTTAAGTCGTGATTGCAACTCTAAGTCAAGATGTCATAAATGCAATGGTAA